GCAGACATTGTGATTCTTTTCCCCCTACAGTTGTCAGAATTAAAAATAGAAATTTTCACATCAGGTGAGCAAAGCCTCTGACCCCTAGTCTTGTATGAATATTACTAATTTAAAAACACATAGTAAAATAAATAGACTTTCTAATTCAGAAGCAGCTCTGAACTTCCGGCTGATTTCAATCCTGATTTGAGTCCAATGTGGATGCATTTGGGTCACTGTAGAAATCAGGTATTTAGAAGGCTGAATGACCCAGGCTGCAAATGCATAACAGAGCTTAAGTAAGAACCCAGGAGTCCTGACTTCAACCCACAGGGTTATGTTCAGCCAGATTTTATCTGTTTCAAATGGCACAACAGGATCTTCCTTGACAGATACCTCGAGGTCAGGGCAGGCCACTCTTCAGTCTTGGATTCTGGTAGCAACTGAAAGCTAGGACACAGGCAGGAGGAGATCCCCAGGCCATCCTTCCCCATCCAGCACTTGAGGTTCTGTGAGCTCCTAGAAATGGGAAGACTTCAGTCCCTGATGAGTATTAGTCCACAGATCTGTGCGGAGAGTGCAATATACAGCCCCAGGTCAAACAGGGCAGACCTGGAAACCTAAATAGCAGATTGGAACATATGAAATTGCCTGTTTTAAAGTCAAAATGGCTGGGCGTGGTGGCCTGTAATCCCAGCACTTTGGGAGGCTGAGGTGGGAGGATCATCTGAGGAAAGGAGTTTGAGACCAGCCTGGCCAACATGGCAAAACCCCATCTCTATTAAAAATACAAAAATTGGGTGTGGTGGCGTGTGCCTATAATCTCAGTACTTGGGAGGCTGAGGCAGGAGAATCGCTTGAACCCAGGAGGTGGAGGTTGCAGTGAGCCAAGATCACGCCATTTCTCTCCAGCCTGGGCAACAGAGCAAGTCTCCATCTCAAATACTACTACTACTACTACTACTACTTCTACTACTAATAATAATCATAAATAAAATAAAATAAATCAAAATGAGTAGAATGTTGGCAACTTCATGTGGTTCAACTCATAACATTCATGGGTCTCCCTACAGCTGTCTTCTGAACCCTCCATAGCCCGCTACACTTAGAGGACTCAAAGCACTACTGGAGAGAGGAGAGGTTGCAGGAGATAGCTTCAAAGAGCTTACAATCTGATTCAAGACTGAGAAAATCAGACCAGGCACCGTGGTTCACACCTGTAATCCCAACACTTTAGGAGGTCAAGGCAAGAGGATCACTTGAAGCCAAGAGTTCAAGACCAGCCTGGACAAAATACTAAGACCCTGTCTCTATAAAAAATAAAAAACTCATTAGGCATGGTGGTGCACACCTGTAGTCCCAGCTAGTTGGGAGGTTGAGGCAGGAGGATCGAACGCTTGAGCCCAGGAGTTTGAGGCTGCAGTGAGCTATGATTGCACAACGACAGTCCAGCCTGGGTGACAGAGGAAGACCATGTCTCTAAATAAGGAAAAAATGATTCAGAAAATTAGAAGTTTGTTCTTGTGTTATTCCTGACTCAGAAAAATCAGAACTCGGTTCTGCAGTTCTTTAGTCTCTACACAGAAGATTCCTTAACACCAGAAACTAGTGTATCTGTGAGCTGATGGATGTCCACAAGCTGTTGGCTACCAGTTCATGAAAAGTAAGTATAGAAATTGAAAATAATCATTGAAAAACACTTATAACAATTTGACATCGTAATTTTAATTCTGTTGGCTCTAACAGTAAAAAAATGGAGTTTGAATTCTGTATTCTGAGTTTTTATTTCACTTTTCTTTCTTTTCTTTTCTTTTTTTTGATGGAGTTTCACTCTGGACACCCAGGCTGGAGTGCAGTGGTGTGATCTCAGCTCACTGCAACCTCTGCCTCCCAGATTCAAGTGATTCAGCCTCCCGAGTAGCTGAGGTTACAAGCACATGCCACCACACCTGGCTAGTTTTTTTGTATCTTTAGCAGAGATGGGGTTTCATCATGGTGGCCAGGCTGGTCCTGAACTCCCAACCTCAGGTGCACCACCTATCTCAGCCTCCCAAAGTGCTGGGATTACAGGTGTGAGCCACCGTGCCCAGCCTATTTCACTTTTCTAATTATTCAATGTTATTGTACTTTAAAAATTATCAGTCCACAATGGATTAGAAATATTTTTTAAAGGTATTTCACCACAGATACCTGAGAAGTAATGATCTACAGGAAGGTAGATGTCAGCTTAATATAAATAACAATAACTAATGTTGTCATGGTGTTTATTATGTACAGGTCCCATTATAAAGTCTTGCAACATAAACTCATTTACTTCTCACAGCAACCTTCAGGTAAGAACTATTATTACTCCAATTTCACAGATGAGGAAACTGAGTCACAGAGAGGAGAAATTACTTTCCTAGTATTGCACGACCAGTCAGTCATAGGGCTGAGATGGGAATCCAGGCAGTTTGGCTCTTGAGTCCATGATGGTAACCTCTGCCATGAAACATATGAGATAACTTGATTCATATATTAGAGGCAAAATATAAAGAAAATCAAGGAATGATTAACACCAGAACTTTGGAAGGGAGACATTGGTGGGAGGAAGGAAGGCAGGGGATGTAACAGGAGGTGTGCGTGCCAGGCATCAAAGGCCTGCTTGCATTCTATGCCTTAACATGGTGAGGAATATGTACAAACCTTCGTTCTATAATACTATCATCCTCCAACTGTACACATGCATTTTACTCACTCTTTGATGTGTATGATGCACCTCACAGTTTTAAAATTTTTTGGAAGGAGTAACTGGAGCTGTCAAACAATGGCAGCCACAGCCTCTGGAGAGGATGAGCGCCCCCTCATGGAGAGGACAAGAACAGCCATTCTCCTCCATCAGGCACAGGGCAGGTGGGAGGTAGAAGGACCTCAAAATTTACTTCTATTCCGACTCTAAGCTTCTTCCTAAAGTCACAGTGTAGAATTCACAGGAAGGAAGAAGCCCACATTACCTGAGACTTTGTAGCCACACCTTTATAGAGTGATGCAGAATTAACATTTAAGGTTGGCAGAAGTGCCTCACTTGAGAAAATGTACCAGAGCACAGTTTACAGTGACAGAGGGTACTGAGGGAGTCCTTGGTATATTTCAAGAGCTTTCACTGTATGTGACTGGTACATTAATACTGATGCAGAAAAAATGGGGGCCACTCCAGGAAACAGGTGATGCCACTTGCCTTGGAAGAGACTGCAGTAAAATGCATACTTGTGCTGCACAATAACTTTTTTGTTTTTGTTTTTGTTTTTGTTTTTGTTTGAGACTGGGTCTCACTCTGTCACCAAGGCTGGAGTGCAGTGGTGTGATCACAGCTTACTGCAGCTTCGACCTCCCTGGCTAATGCAATCCTCCTACCTCAGCCTCCCAAGTAGCTGGGATCACAGACCACCACACCAGGCTAATTTTCTAATTTTTTTGTAGAAACAGGGTCTCACTACTTTGCCCAGGCTGGTCTTGAACTCCTTGGCTCAAGCAATCATCCTTCCTCAGCCTCCCAAAGTGCTGGAATTATAGGCCTGAGCCCCCATGCCTGGCCTAAAGGCTCCTCTCGATGTGTAGACAGCTAGTGTTGCTAAGGCAAGTCTGGGTGTGAAAGGTTCGAACCATTTTGGGGTATCTCGACAACAGCTATGTGAGATGAAGATTTAGACCCCTAATCACCAAGAAAGCCAGACTGATGTGCAAAGCAATCCAACAAGCATGTTCCTGAGAGGCTGTAGATCAAAGATTTGTAAGCACACAAACCTGGATCGAATCTTGTTTCTGCACTTACTTGTTGCATAGTCTTGAACAAGTTATTTCACTTCACTGAGCCCTAGTAGTCCCATCTGTAAAACTGGGTGATGATATTACTTACCTCTCAGAGTTACTGGGAAGATTTAATTAGAGATTGTATATAAAGTATAAGCACTTGGCTGTAATAAGCACTTAAAATATTTCATGACATTTATTTACTGTCATTTGTGAGTATCCATAATATGGAAGGCAACATGGGGAAGAGGCAGAGGGAAGAATACAAAAAAAGAACAAACAGCCCCCTGCCTTCAAGGAAATTCTCTCTAGTGGGATGCTTTTAAAGCTTTCCTAGGTCAGGCATGGTGGCTCACACCTGTAATCCCAAACTTTTGGGAGGCCAAGGTGGGAGGATCACTTGAGCCCTGGAATTCAAAACCAGCCTGGGCAACATAGCAAGACCTGTCTCTCCAAAAAATAAAAAATGAACTGAGTATGGTGGTGTGTGCCTGTAGTCTCAGCTACCAGCTACTTGGGAGGTTGAAGTGGGAGGATTGCTTGAGCCCAGGAGTTCAAGGCTGCAGTGAGCTAGGCTCGTGCCACTGCAGCCTGGGTGACAGAGTAAGATCTTGTTTAAAAAATAAAAATAAATTATAAATAATAATAATAATAATAATAAAACTTTCTTATAAACCTATCAGGAAAATACATTCTCAGCTTTTTTCTAGGATTATCAAGGCATTACCAACCTGTGTTAAAGACACTTTAAACTTTTGATCTTATTTGGGAGACACCTTTATAGGTTGGAGGTGGGTGGGAAATCTACTGAGACTGTGTATAAGCCAGAAACACCTCCTTTGAACCAGACTGGGGACTATGAGTGACATTAAACTATCAATTGACCATAAGTTTACCAGCCTATGCCCTGTTTATCCTACTGACCCCTTTGTGCCAATGGATTTAATGCCAGAAAGCACTACAGCCTTAGGGAATGCGCAAGAGTGCTATTGGCCTCTGTTTGTCAAACTCCCTTTTACAGGACAGTAGCTCCTAGGACCCTGTTCCCATCTATCTGCCCAACAAGAGGGGAGCAGGAAAATCATGTCAGTCTCCTCTGACACACTTGGACCATGCTCTTGCAAAGCCCATCCCCTCTAAAGGGAAAATGAGCCCCAGTGAAAGCACATCTGATTCTTCAAGTTTCTGTGAGCTAAGCATTTGTAAGTACTATTGCTAATTCGCTGCACCAATGAAGGAATATCAGTAGCAGCTTTATTTCAAAATGATCATTAATCCAGAAATTACTACCTGGGGGTAGCAAGTTCTAAGACTGCACAATTCTTCAGAGAAATTACTGTATTCAAACTGACCCAGAGAAAGCTAAAAAGTTGCACACCTGCCCTGACCTGAACTCTTCCCACAGCTGTGTCCATTCTAGAGATAATCAGCTGTGTCCATTCTAGAGATAAGCAGCAATCCAGGATTGATGGAAAGCCATCCAAAAGTGATTCTCCTTCTCTCTGATTTGAACCTGGTTGGGGTGATACACAAGGGTTTTAGTTCAAAAGACCTCTTAGTAAAAGTAAAGACTGCATAGAAGCATACCTGTACATGAGAGCTAGTCAATACATTGATGTAAGAACTTTATCACCTTTGCTAATTATGTCGAGAAAAATTTAAATCAAGATTTTTTAAGGAGGAACAATAGTTGGATAATCCATCATCAGATAAGTGGCAACTGATTACTAGGAAAGAGTCATGATTGCTAGTCATGATGCTTGCCTTGGTAAAGTGGATCTCAATGGATCCTCTGGGTAGATATTTAAAATATTGATGCCAGATCCTACCCCCAGACCAATTACATCAGAATTCCTGAGGATAGGACCCCAGTACCAGTATTTTTTAAAAGATTCCCAAGTGGTTCTAATGGGCAGCTTGGGCTGAGAATGTTGCCTTAGTTAGCAGAGTTTACTTACCTGAAGCAGTAAATGCTGCTTTTAAAGCAGTTCGACTTTTTCCCTTGAGCACCAGGAGAATCATGTTGATTAATTAACATTTTCCAAACAACAGCAATGAATTAACTGCTGGTAATGTTCAGGCCATGGAATTAGACACGACTCCCATACTTCAGACTCATCTCCCCAGATAGAAGCTTGAACACGGGTTTCCGAGAATGAGAGCTTAGCAAACAACAATCAGAGATAGATTGACCTTAGCTGAGCAAGCACCGTGTAGGGAGCAAAAAGACAAAATTACAAGCTCATTTCCACACTCACTCAAATATGTACTCAGTGTGCCAGGAACAGGGCTAGGAGCTGGAGGTCCTGAGATTATGCGAATATGACCAAGGCAGGAACTGAAAGTCTAATGGAAAGAAGAAAATGTAGACAAAACTTTCCAGCCATGCAATATGTGATCAAGGTACACACAGAGACCTTGAGGTGACAGATGAGGCTTCCTGGAGGAGGAGATGTATGAGTTGACTCTAGCAGGCGGAGTGGAAATCTGCCAGGTCAAGGGGGACTAACATACAGGCAAAGCCAGAGAAGAGCTTGAGCAGTTCTGGGAACAGCATGTGCCACGGATGACACTGGAAAGGCAGGCAGAACCTGATTATAAAGACCCTTGTATGTCACTGAAGGATTTTTACCTTAACCTTAAAGGCAGATCACTTGAGTCCTGGAGTTCAAGACTAGCCTGGGCAACAAGGCAAATCCTCATCTCTGAAAAAGTACAAAATCATTAGCCGGGTATGGTGGCACACACCTATAGTCCTAGCTACTCAGGAGGCTGAGGTGGGAGGATCACCAAGCCCAGGAGGTTGAGGCTGCAGTGATCCGTGATTGTGCCACTGAATTCCAGCCTGGGTGATAGAGTAAGACCCTGTCTCATAAAATATAAATAAGGCAGGGAAGTGACATGATCAGATTCACATTTAGAATGACCACTCTGGCAGTTTAGAGAGCCTTGCTACTCAAGGTTCATAGACCAACACCATCAGTATCACCCAGGAGCTTGTTAGAAATTCTAAAAACCTCAAGCCCTATTTCAAACATACTAAATCAGAATCTATACTTTAACAAGCTCCCCAGATGATTCACGTGTACTTTAAAGTTTGAGACACAGTTAAGAAAGGATAAATTTTCATGAGAAAGAGGTGAAACTTTAGGAAGACCATTAAGGAGACCATGGCAATAATTTGTTAAATCTTTTCTTTAAACAGTTCTTTAACAATTACATATGGATGAGGACTCCATGTCCTCCAAAATATCGCATTGATAAGTGAAACATTCAAGCAATAATTGTACAGATAAGCTGAGTTTTCTTCTTAAATTACCTTCATTTTCCACCAGATTAGCAAGAATCCCACAGACATAGCCATAGCATGAGAACCACATGTCATGTGTACTGAACTATGCAATATGTATTGCAGAATTTCAGATAGAGATTCAACAGAAGGGAAGGAAGGTCTCTTTGTCTAGTTTTAATGATAGGTACAGGCAATGAGGCCATAGTCTTTCCTTCTGTTATCCCAAAACCCATTAGTGGTGTGGGCACTGCCTTGATAATATGGACCCAGAGACTGAGACTAAAGTCAAGTGTGAACTTTACAATTGCTGATTGTGTGTTCTGAGAGACAGAGAAAGAGACAGAGATCTGAAAAGAGAAATGGAAGAGGCTGTGTGTCTTGGGGTAGTCTTTAGTGAAGAAAATCCCCTCTCTCTGATCATGGACAATAATATTGATGGGACCAAGCTGATCCTCTTTTTCATTAGAAAATAGGCTTCTCCTAGAAGTGAATCTTGATGAATTTGAAAGAGGGAGTGTGGTCTACTAGGTAAGAAGTAGGGGGTTTAAAAAAACAAACAAGCAGTCTATAAATAAGCACACATACACCTCATCTCTAACAATCAGCATGTTATTGAACAGGGTGTACAAATTGGACTTGGGTTAAATTAAATCTATTTTAAGCCCATTCTGGGAATTTGCTATTTAAAGAAATCCTTTGTAAAGTGGATAATCACCCACTAATGAAGCTTTTGTTAAATCTGGAGTTCTACGAAGCTAAAGTTCCCAAACTGACTGCTGGAAAGATCACCCCACAGATATCTGGTAGAGTACAACTTGTCTGTGTGCCAGAGAACCAACTTCTGTTAGGAAACCCACCTTCAAAAAGAAATAGAGTCCTGTCCTTGCAGAAAATGAGTAGATGGACAGAGAAAAGAACACATAATGTGGTGACTAGAAGAGAACCTGGGACCCAAGGGTCAAGCAGAGCAGTGGGGGCTGGTAAGGAGACAGCAGATGAGTTCGTGGGTAGCAAGTGGGACATAGACAGCAGAGTGAATGACTACAGAGGACAGGGAGGTTATACTTGAATTATTACTAAGACCTTCTGTTTTTTTCTTGTGACAGCATCTCTTACCAATACTAAATCCTTCTTGTCTCTAACCTCCGGATGTCTAATGCCGATATCCAGAATGTTTCAAAATACTATTAATCCAGTTACCTTTGTTGCATCTGTGAGTTCTTAACTAACTAGAGAAACATTCTGGTTGGGTGCAATGTAATATACAAATAATTTAGTGTTAATCAAGTGATCTTGCATATCTTGACTCTAAGCACCAAAAGGGGACAGCCTTCTTGCTGGCCTCCTTAGATCGCCCTCACAGAAAAGAGGGAGTTTAAATGGAAAACTGAAAGATGGGGAAAGTTTGGTAATTGGGAAAAGGAGGTAGGAAAAGGCAAATCAGAGTTAAAGCCAGAGGCATAGCTACATAAGACCTTCTCTTTAAATTACCAAACACAAGTCATGGGCTCTCCAATAGAAAGACCTGTCCAGCCGTAAGCCTGGAATGGGACTCCAAGAAAAGACTCAGGGTGAGGAGCTGAGGACCGAGCAGTTCCACTTCCCAGTAGTGATCTAGTATCACCATGTCCTCCTTAGCCACTCACACTGTCCATAACACAGGACTCCCTCTGCCTACATCCCAAGATTGAATGAGAAGGAAACTGTTCATTCGTTCAATAAATATGTATTGAGCCCCAAATAATATTGGGGCAGGAGGTTTGAGAATTACTACTTTGCCTTCATAAAGAGTTTGCATGGAGTGGGAAGATTAGGAGAAAGGCTAAGAAATAGTTCTGCAGGTCAAAGAAAAGCAGATCTCAATTTAAGTAAGTCGGATATTAGAAAAAAATTTAGTTGGGCCGGGCACAATGGCTCATGCCTGTAATCCCAGCACTTTGGGAGGCCGAGGGGGGTGGATCACTTGAGGTCAGGAGTTCAAGACCAGCCTGGCCAACATGGTGAAACCCTGTCTCTACTAAAAATACAAAAATTAGCTGGGTGTGGGGGCACATGCCTGTAATCTCAGCTACTCGGGAGGCTGAGGCAGGAGAATTGCTGGAACCCAGAGGCAGAGGTTGCAGTGAGCCGAGATCATGCCACTGCACTCCACCTTGGGCAACAAAGCTCGCTCAATAAACAAAAACAAAAATATATTTGATCCCAGGGCTATTAAACATTGCAGTGGGCTCCTTCGAAGGTCATCGGGATAGAGGGATTTCCAAAGAAGCCTTCCTGAGTGATGTGTGATTTGGAGGACAGGATAAATACCTAGTAGCTTCCTTGCAGGTGGAGGTGAACCAGACCAGAGCACTTTCTCTGAGACTGTCATCTGCACAGCCCTCCTGCTGCATCTGCCCCTCTTCCCCTTACCAGGTCCTGCGGAAGAGAGAGGCTGGGAGGTCTCAGAAAGGTGGGAGATACAGAAGCACCGGTCCAGGAAATCAAAAGAGAAATCAAGGGATGAAAAACTCCAATAGATGGACCAGTGAAAGGGTCAGAAAGGGGTTAAGTAGAGTCAAAAGAAGCTCCATTTAGATTTCAACCAAGATCAGTACCAGCTATTTCTCAAAAGCTTTTAAGACAGCATGTAACTTAGCAACTGACCTATGTTTGTTTTTTGTTTTTGTTTTTACCCATGTCAGTTTCTCAGTAGTTACTATCAGCAACAACAACAACAAAAAATGCTTAGAATTGTGCATTTACTGAGAGATGGGAAGCAAGGAATAAAAATTATGGGCTATGTCCTGTTTGGCAAGGTTGTATCAAGACAGGACACCAAAAAGCATGAGCCAAACATCCAACCCTTGGGATTCTCAGGAGAAAAATTAAGTCCTGAAGGCTGTCCCTGAGTCCAGAAATGCTCTTAGGAGAGTACGTCCCAGGAGAAGGCCTCAGTGGGACATTTCCTTGACATGCTTCAGGAAAGAAGCACTTGCAGGTTTTACTTCTCACTTACCTAAAAATCAGCACCAAACTAGGCAAGTTATCTACACAGACTCCTTTGTTGTATTCCACATTTCCCAGACAAGCCCTCCCCCTGGACCAAAGAGACTAGGAGAGAGTTCAGGCTCTTTTATAGCTGACTTGAACCCCAGCCCTCCATCCTTACCAGACTCAGCTCTCCCCTTAGTGAAGAATGTTTTGAAAGGCCATAGCCCATGAGCTCTCCCAATTGTCAGGGATGACTTTTCACTGGAATGATAGAAATAGCCACATTACATGCAGATCACACACATGCACATATGCATACACACACACACACACACACACACACACACACACACACACCTACCTTGACCTCTGTTTGCTGTGCAGTGGAGTCAAGCAGCAGTTCACTGTGGCTATTGCAGGGACAACTCCCCGGCTCCTCAATAGCTAGGTGGCATAATGTGCATATCAGCACCACCCTGGCGGACAGCTCATAGCAGCCCCATCCTTGCGCTTTTCCTAGAAATTTGTTCAAAACTCTCAGTCGGTCGTGAGAGGGAAGCAAACTTCCTAGTTGTCCGCTCAGCCACTCCTTTCACTATGCCATGAGTCAGAGCAAAGAAGTTCTGTGACCCTTATCTTAAAGAGGGCTCTCACGCTTCCTTCCCCAAGGACAGCCACGTAGCTTTGAGAGAGAGAGGTGCCTCGAGGCAGGTGGTTATGTGCACTGGTTTAGACCTCAGTGATGCCACGAGGAATTCCAGGCCTTTCTATCTTTGCACTGTGCCTTCATTTGCTAATTGGTTTTTGTCATCTAACAGTCTCAGGATAGCTGACCCTGCTCCAGATGCCACGTCCATATTTAGGAAAGACAGACAGACGGGAGAAGGGAAGTCATTCTAGCAACATCTGTCCATTTTATTAGTCCTTGAAATGCCCAGAGAGTTCCAATTGGGCCTTAGTGGCTAGTACTGTCAGAAGACGACTTCTAGCTGCAAAGGAAGCTGGGAGAGGGAATATTTAGATTTCCCAGCTTTTGTAGTTAAAAGAGATGGTGGGGGGGGGGTGAGGGGGTTCATGTAATCACTTAATGCATCTGCCAAAAACAAAAAAGATCACTGCTGTGAGGCTACTTTCTCATCTGTAAAATGCAGTCATTCTAGCATTTATTTTGTAGGGATGGTGTGAAGCCACACAGCATGGTTCTCATAGGATGCAGGACACACAGGCTCATAGATCCCAGGACAAGCACTGAGAAGTCCATAGGCACTGCAGGAGATGAGCAAACAAAACTCTGGGTCACAATGTGGTGCTAATGTCTATAAAGAATGTCTAATGTCTATAAAGAAACTGTGAGGCTACAGCAAGGCACATCAATATAAATGTCATCAAAAGTGTGAGTCCTTTCTATGGGCAGGAAGGAAGGAGGCAGG